TCAGAACTGGGGATTGAACTCAGATCCTTGAGCTTGCCAGGCAAGCGCTTATTCTACTGAGCCTTCAGTAGAATAAGCCCCCCTCATTTCTTTCAATGTATTTAGGTTTCAAAAACTCTCAGAGGAGATATCCACCTCTAATTCTACAGATTTAAGCAAATGTAAACACTTTATTTTTTATTCTGTTTATGATTAATTTTGGTAAGTGAATATATGATATAAAAATAAAAATGTGGACAGACCAAAGGAAGTACAAATTAATACACACTGATGGAGAGACAGAGAATGTGGCTTCTGTTTAAGGTAATAGACCTCAGGTTTATCAGTGTGCTAACATAGGTTCAGAAGCAAAACAAGAGTCAAGTGGGCAGAATGGAGCCTCCAACCTCATGTCTCCACCTTCCACTTCTGATTACTCCAGACCTACCTACCTTAACATTGTAGCAGCGAATGGTGTGATCACTAGAACCCGTGTAGAGTGCAGCAGTCTTCTCAGAAGTCTGAGTGACCAGGAGGCAGTTCACTTTGGAAGAATGGCCCTCAAAGATGCCAATACACTTCCGACTCTAAAGTCAAGGATAGATCATAATATTATTTGAAAGATGTGAAAGGATTAGATAATGCATTTCTTCAACTCAACAAAATAATGCAAAATTTTAATTCACTGCTGTGTTCTCAATGCCTACAACAGTGGCTGGCATACAGAAGGTGTCAAAGAAATAAATATCTGTTCACTGAATGATCAACGAATATTCCCATGTTCTAAGGTATCTCTATGTCAGCTGAGGCATACTAAAAAATGATTCACCATAACATAGGTCATATTTCTCTTTCAGTTGTACTAGGGCTTGAATCCAGAGCTTTAATACTAAACTACAACATTCAGCCCTTTTCTGTAGTTTTTAAAATTTTGATAGAGGGTCTCACTAAGTTGTGTAGGCTGAGCTTAAACCTGCCATTCTCCTGCTTCAGCCTCCCACAGCGCTGGGATTAAAGGTATGTACCACCATACCTAGTTCAGAATTTCAATGCCTTGGGCAAAGTTCTCTAACATACAGACCAAGGATTTTTTTTTTTTAATCTTTTATATTTTTATTTGGTACAGGGTCTCACTATACAGCTCAGACTCACAGTGGTCCTCCTGTCTCAGCCTCTCCAGTGCTGGGATTACAAGCGTGCACCACCATCCCTGTTTCTGTGGCAGGCATGATGCAGGGCCAACATGGCATGTGGTGCCTGGGATCAAACCAGGTCCTTGCACTTGCCAGGCAAGTGCTTAGACTGCCAAGCTATCTACCCAATCCTAGACCAAGGATCTTACAAATCTAAATTGTAGCTAATTACCCAAAACAGTTTTGTATTTAGAAGAATGTTCTACAATATTAAAAACTGTCAGATGCTGTCATAGGTCCTACAGTCCAGGTACGGTTGCATATGAGAATACCCTAAATGTTACCTCTGTGCCCATACCAAGATCTACTTAGAATGCACACGCACATACATACTTGTACATACCCACAAACAACCTCACATATATCCCCTGTAATTTACAGTTAGAACCAATGCCCTGGATCCTATACTTAACACTTCCCTGTATCATTGCTTCTTTAGTCATTCTGGCTTTAAAAAATCATTTACTTATTTATTTGGTACAGAGTCTCCTTATGCAGCTTGGACTCCTAGTGATCTTCCTGTCCTCAGCCTTCCCAGCACTGGGACTGCAGGTGTGCCCAACACATCCAGTTTTGGTGGCCAGCACAGCATGTAATACTGAGGTCAAACCCAGGTCCTTGTGCTTGCCAGGCAAGCACTTAACCCGCTGAGCTATCTCCCCAGCCCTGGATTTGTTAGGTTTTATTTTGTTTTTCCTTTTGACAGGGCCTCACTATGCAGTTCAGGCTGGCCTTGAGCTTACTTTGTAACCCAGGCTGGTCTCAACTTACAATGATCCTCCTGACTCAGCCTCCCCAGTGGAGTGCTGAGATAACAGGCATGTCCTGCCACACCCGGCTTCTTTAGTCATTCTGATAACTGACTAATGAAATATATCTTCCTGCTTCATCATCTAACTTTGTAATATTCACTGACTTCAGCAATGTACATATTTTTACAGTGGTTTTCAGAAAATAGTGACCTTAAGTTTCTTGTTATCATTCTTCATAACCAGAATTAATTTTGATATATATCAAATTCAAAACTTAAAAGTTCATTCTTTTGAGTAATGAGCATCAGCTCAAGGGAAGTGTGAGGCAAAGCGTTCATCTCCTTAGGAACTTGGATTCTGTAGTTTACCAAATGTGAGCGGGGAGGGCTGAGGATTTAGCTCAGCAGCAGAGGGCTTGCCTAGCAAGTTAGAAGCCCCAGGTTCAGGCCTCAGCTCCAAAAGCAAAACAAAACCAAATCTCAACTGAAGTCACTAATGCTGTTTTTGTTTAACTTTTTTTATTTTTTGGCGGAACCAGGTATTGAACTCAGGCCCTTACGCTTGCCAGGGAAGCGCTTACTCCACTGAGTCATTTCCCCGGACCCTTTTTTTTTGTGTGTTTGTTTGTCTGTTTGTTTAAAATAAAAACTATTTAAGATTTAATTTTTTAGAAAAGTGAAAGGGGAAATATTCTCTTGAATACTCCCCCAGTATTCATTCTTCTGGTACACAGTTGATACCTTATTAGCACCAAATCTATTGGTATAATTCCATCCTCTCTGTATCAAGCGACTGAAGAGAAAAGCACAGAACATTTTCTGTTATGAAGAAAAAGAAATCCATGAAGCACTAATAGGGTAACTACCTTTTGGGAAAAAGATATCAGAGATGAGAGAGTTGAGAGAAAAAAATTATACACCTGCTGATGTGCTACATTAGCTGCTTCTAAAATCACCCAAAGGCCCCTAGAAATTCCTTTATCAGGGCTGGTGAGATGGCTCAGTGGTCTAAAGCACCTACTTAGAACAAGCTTAGCAAAGCACAGGGACTGCGGTTCAATCCCCCAGCACCACATGCCAGCCAGCCCTGCCCCCAGGCGGGCTAAGCTGGACACACACACACACACTAAAAAAAAAAAAAGAAAGAAAGAAATTCCTTTATCATTTAAGAATGTGAGCGAGATTTTTTCTTTTCTTTTATTGGCTTTTTTTTTTTTAAAACAGGGTCTTGCCATGTAGTTTAGGCTGGCCTTGAACTCAACTAGGTAATCCAGGTTGGTGTCAAATTTGCAGGGATCCACCTATCTCAGCCTCTCCAGTGCAGGGATTACAGGTGTGCACCACCACACCCAGTAAGCAAATTTTCATTGAAAACATTACATGTACTTACCACCAGATTATAGACTCGGACAGTTTTATCTCCTGAACAGGTATATAATAAATTTCCAAATATTTGAATAGCATTCACTGCAGCCTGGTGCCCTTCAAAGCTCCCTTCTGTGGGCTCATCATCATCACCTGGTTCTGAAGATACTTCTACAAAACAAGAAATATCAGAGCCATGTCAGCTACAGCCTGAAGAGATACTCAAAACTCAAAACCATTACACTACATAGTGATCCCTGATTTAGGTTTTTCTTTTTTTTTTTTTTTTTAAACGGTACCAAGGATTGAACTCAGGACTTTGCACTTACCAGGCAAGCACTTATTCTATTGAGCTATCTCCCTGGCTCTAGAGTGTGTGTGTGTGTGTGTGTGTGTGTGTGCGTGTGTGTGTGTTTAAAGACAGGGTCTCAAAAAAAAAAAAGAGTCTCGAGATACAATTCGGGCTGGTCTTAGGGTCACTTTGTAGCCCATGCTGGTCTCTAACTCACAACAATCCTCCTGACTCAGCCTTCCTGAGTGCTGGGATTACAGGCATGAGCCATCACACCCAGCTCCTGAATTAAAAAAATTTCTCCTTAAAGCCTGTTTCAACTAGCAGGATATCACAGTCTTAATTAGAAAATAACAGTCTTAATTAAGGAGGTTTGCAAGATTCTACAGTAAAGACCTTTCACTTAGGAGAAAGATCCTTATAGTATGAATTTCTGAGTGATATTTAGAAGGCACTTAATCTCTTTCCACATTATCTCCCTTAATTTCAAACAGCTTTGCTCTGAGTAAGGCATTATTCTTTAAGCAGCTTTTTCTCAAAGCAAAAACCCCTGGAGCCAGTGAAACGTTTAGCACTAATAGGAAAAACATGCAAAAGAGCCAAGCAGGATACTGGCAGCAGAAAATTGAAGATGACAGAATTGAAGATCTAGTGTTGATCCAGGCAATCTTCTTAGTGCAAGCCCTTCCCACTCTATTTTGTAAATATATCCAATACTGAAATGTTGGCTCTAAATTTACAAACTTCTTTTTCTGTGGTTAATTAAATAAAACAGAACAAATACCTGAGGAGTTCTTTAAGCCTTTTAGGGAGGTGATCACAGTCTGAGTCTCTGCCACACTACAAAATAATAGCAAAAATCTGTCAGCACAGAATAGGGAGCAAAACTAAAATCTTTGTAATTCAAAGGATTTTTCTAAACAATAGGCAAAGCAGTAATAATATATCTGAAATTTTTATGAAGAGAAACAAAACCATAGAATATTTACAACACAGACTAAAGAGAAAGTAGAACAATCTCCACAGCCAAGATTTGAGTCTTCCATAAATTGTTTTCAGATAAACTTTTTTTTTTTTTTTGCGGTACCAGGGATTAAACTCAGGACTGAGCTATCTCCCCAGCCCCCTAAACTCTGATTCTTAAACAAATTGATTCACAATTAAAATTCCTTTAAAAAAAAAAAAAAAAAAAAAGAGCTGATGAAAGTTGCTTTGATTGGCTCAACACATCTTACCTTACAAGGACACCATCCTTGTGAGTGACAATCTCACTGGTGGAGCTGACTTCATCACAACCAGAACGGGAAGTTTCTACCGGGTTTTGCTCTGCAGTGCCCCAGATATCTTTTTTGGAAGGGCTATCTGGTTTCTCTTCTCCAGATTCAGAAGAATCAATGGCTACAACTTCTACTTGAGGATGAGGAACTTCTAGGACTTCCAGAGAAGAGTCGCTCTCTGGCTCATCTCGGACACTCTCTTGTTCCCGACTAGTTTTGCTGTCTTCCCAGGTGGAAGTGGTCACTTTCCCACCTTTGGGTAACTTGCCCGTTTTTATTTTCCTTACAGGTTTAGCAGTAAATACATCCTGCTCAGTGTCACTGTTCTCAGGAACATGGGCAGCCCGTAGTGTTTTTTTCTTCCGAAGTTTCTTCTTTTTCTTGTTTCCCCTGGTTTCAAGAGACGTCAGAGTAGATTCTGCCTGTTGCTCAGGGTCCTTAGTGGGAGAGGGAGGTTCCTTCTCCAGAGGGATTTCTGAAGAAGATAATCTTAAAAAAGAACTGCCACAGGCCTCAGACTCACTGTTGCATTGTGTTGGTTCTTCCCCTTCTTTACTTACGCTAGGAAGATCAGGTGATCCGGAGGAGGGAGAGTTTTCTCTGCTTCTGCTATTTCCTTGCTCCACAGAAAACTTTAGATCTTGCTTAGGCTCCTGGCAACTTTCTGTTGCCATGAGGCCCGAATTAATTACATGACCGTCACTGAATTCTCCTGAATTGAAAACAAAACAAACCATTGCATCTTTATTATTATTTTTTTTTCCAGTACTGGGTATTGAACCCAGAGCACTCATACCAAGTTATACCCCTATCCCTTTTTTGTTTTTCTGAAATAGGATCTCACTATGTAGGTCAAGCTAGTCTGAAACTCACCAAGATCTTCCTGCCTCAGCCTTTCAAGAACTGGATTACAACTGGACCACCATGTCTGGTCCCCAATCATTTTTTAATGTTTTGAGACAGGGTCTTGCCAAGCCATTAAGTTGGCCAGGCTGGGCTCAAACATATAGTCCTTATTCCTCAGCCTCCTAGAGGACTAGTATTACAGGTATGCACTACCATGCACAGCTTGCTTCACCTTTTCTTGATTATATTTTCTGGAATAGCCACAAACTGCAAATTACCAAATAATTTCTCAATAATATGTCCATAAAACCATGACTGTCATAGCTAGCTGTTAACTCAATCTTCAGTTTCTCATAACTTATATTCCTGTTACTGCATTAATCTCAAAATAATACAGGTATTTCTTATTCCCTACAAAAGCCCTTTCAATGTAATCCTAACACTCTGGGAAGCTGACAGGAAGATTGCAAATTCAAGCCCAGGCTGACGAGCTACTTAATGAGACCCTGTCTCTGAATAAAATTTTAAAAAGTGGTGGGGATGTAGTTCAGTAGCAGAGTACCCCTGGGATTGATACAGGAAAAAAA